GAGTACCGATTTCTTGTCATGGTGATCGGCCGATACCGATTCTGATGCTTTAAGCTTTATATAGACTGTTTCATCGGGCGCACGCACCTGGCCCGAAGTTAACTTCCGGTCTGTGTTTGTTTATCAGTCTGGCAATGGCGCCGGCTACAAACGCAGTTAAAGTTAAGGTGATGAGTACTTTGAAGTTGGGCTCAGGTGGTTGTGCTGTGGGATGTGTTTCCCATACATTTATTTATTTGTGGCGCTCGGCACAATATCAAAATTGACCAATTTTCCAAAAGGCTTCGTTGAATAAACATGAGGACGTACTGCATGTTTCAAAATCAAAACGAGGCGCGGGTGTTTTTATAGTCACTGTATTTCTGAAGGAAGACTATCTTTAGAAAATTTTCAATGTCATTTTCATTTCATCTTGCATGTTATATGCCTGATAAAGCAGCGTTTGCGTACAGCCGTTACTGGGGAAACCTCTGTTTCTCCCGCTTTAAAGCACCTCCTGCTGGTAGAGAATGAATTTGCATTTTCAGTAAGTCCGTCTGATTTACGCAGGAAACATATTTAGCCTTTCCCATTTCCACGGGCGCTGTGGATAATCTGCGGGTCGGGTAATAAAAAATCCATTCTGATTATTTGCGGGTGGATAAAATAAATAATAAATGATGCAAATATTAACTACATTTTAATACTTTTTTAAGTATACAAATACTTTTTTTTAAATAAATTTTTTTCATGAGGTAGATGATTTTGTGTGTGTGTGTGTGTGTGTGTGTGTGTACACGACAAATAGCGAATTTTTCATTGTTTCTCGAAATGTCATAGCATTTCCACACCGGCGATGACATGTCTGTGGCGCCAAATCATTTAGGTCCTCACGCATCATGTACGTTGTCACACGTTGATGTCATCAAATTGCGATCGGTTCGTGAGTTCGGCCAAGTGTAGTGAGTACCGACTGAGATATAAAATGTGATTATCGGTCGATACCGATCTCCGGCCAATCGATCGGAGCACCCCTAGTAGGGAAGAAACCATCAGATCACTGCATTCCAATTTGATTACTTTCTGTCCAAAATACACATCCAAAATCACAGTAGGGCTGGGCGATATGGGCAAAAATTAATATCTCTGTATTTTTTGGCCAATTTGCTATATATGGTATATATCTCGGTATTTTCGTTTTTGCATTTGTATTAAAAAAAATCTATTTAATATATATATATATATTACACACACACACACACACACACACACACACACAATAAAGTGAATGTAACCATGTAAGCCTTTATATGATGTGCAAAAACGGGTTAAAATCACATTTCATTCTAACATTGCAATCTAAAAACAAAAATAAGGCTTTTTAAAGTGGAAGTTAAATTCACTAAACTAAAAATTTAAATAAATGAGAACAAAAGCACAGAGTTGTGTTAGGCTATTTTGATTACCCCATTACAGTCACTTTACAGTCAGTGCTATCATAAAAATAGACTTACTTGTAGGTTTAAAATTCTACATGTCACATTTATTGTCCAACTACAAATATTTCAGCGAAATGTATATTTTAGTCAGAATTATTGCGCTCCTATTTAATTGCGCTCTGTCTGTTTGGCGCGCGTTCACTGAAATCTGTGTGAAGTTTAGCGGAGAATCGCAAAGCAGAAGGCTCATGCACTCCTGACAGCAAAATTGAAATATTTCCATGACTTTCTAACATTTACAGATGGAGAATATACCTGTGAAATGTAAGTTATGCATTCAGGAAGACAGCACATCTCAAACACATTAAACAGCGCGAGTAGCCAGTCTAGTGTCTCTGTCAGCGGCACATGCAGCCTTTCAGTCAGAGCATATGACGGGTCGAGCCGCTTAAACTAATATGCGAAACGAAACCATAAACTATAGTTTTTAAAGGCCTTAATATGAAGCTTGTCACATGTTTAGAACAAATTGGATTATGCACTTTCTCCGCAGCAGCTCAGTCTGTGTCCTCCTCTATATTTTCAGATGCGCTCGTATCAAACTACTGTACATCGATATAAATGGTATTGCCTCATATCGAATCGCTTATAAAGAAAACATCGATATATCGTACAAACTCGATATACTGCCCAGCCCTAAATCACAGTACATTAAACTAAGCCCAAAATCCCCTATTTTGTGCACATTCTTGAGTTAATATTACAATCTCCCTATGAAAGAGAAGAGTCATGTCTAAACTGTGCATGAACCTGAAAGCAGTTTTAAGATAACAAATTCAGCTAATGTTTACATGCAAACAGTACGCAACACAAGTTGGTCTGTGATGATCAAGACAATTTTATGATATGGTGCACCAATACTGCATGCCAAAGTGTGTCCACTTATTAGCAAGTTACACAAATTTAAGACATAGTCTGGGACAATTAAGACAAAGCCAAAAAACTAACTGAAAAACAGGCTCTTATCAACAGAAATCCAGTGGAAAAATTACATTCTCAAAATGTGACAGCCTCCCATGGAAATCAATCAAATCTCTGGATATCTGAATATTATTAATAATGGCATAAGCATAACAGACTAGATGGCGACCGTTCAAAATAACTTTGTTTTGGACACCTAAAAAGCCAGTTTGCATGGAAAATTACCAATTAGTCATTGAGAGGACTCTCTTATCCAAAGTGACAGTATTTTAACTTATGAACTACATGGACATTTCCCTAATAGAAACTTGGAGTTAGATCCAAAAAATTAAAATTCTGTCATCATCTACACACCCTCTATATTGTTTCAAACTGCAGGATGTCCGTTGGATTCCAAATAATAACACTGGACAGTCACTGACTTTCATTATGTGGACAAAAATTTTTTTTAAATGCCCTCTTTTGTGTTCCAAAGAAGAAAGCAATTCATACAGGTTTGGAATGACATGAAGGCAAGTAAATGACAGAATTTTCATTTTTGAGTAGGCAGCAAAATAAACAGAAATTTCACAAGGATTATAAAGTCTGTGCACTACACTACATTCTTTATTATTAAACGAAGTAATTAGAACAACGTCCGTCTACAGTAATCGACACATTCTTAGGAAATAGTGGGTTCACAGCGAATTATCAGAACTAACGTATTTCAGTAAGACATCATGCTTTACCTGGAAACCTAAAGCTCCACTAGGTGTACATCACATATTAGCACAAAAACTTGATATTTTGAGCACTCAGTTGAAAATGTACACATAACGTATCAATCGTACTTACAGGTTGTGCTTCGGAGAGCTTGTTAGTCCAAATTAAGAAGATAGAAGAAGCCAACGAAGATAAAAGCCAAGATTAGAGAAGCAGTCCTCGGTAAAATGACATGCACACAACAAAAGGTTCGAATTGCATTTCTGTGGTATCCTTGAACACAGCATATTCTCAACATGATGTAAACACACTAACTAGCGGAATTGTTTGTGGGCAGGTCAGACTCTGTTCGTATTTAGCGGGCATGCGGGGATTATGCAAATGTGTTACCCAGTGACGTATACCGGTAACAGGCAAAAGATTCGAAAATATGACGACTCGTTAAGGCGATTCAGAATTGACTCTCTCTTTTGAGAGACAATATCTTTATTTATCATGCAATTTTTTGATTAACAACTTTGCATATTGTTTTCATTTAAGGATAGCTACGTTATAAACTGCAAAAGAGATATTTTTCAAAAACCCATATGACCTGCTCTTTAAGGCCACAATTGTCATTGTTCATGCCTCGCCTATTGTAGGATTTAAACCTACAATAGTTTGATTACCAGTCTGGATCTTTAAATATTAGATGCACCATCCCTAGTGAGTAACGCGGGTCAAAGTCATCAGATGCTGCTGAATGGTTATATGCACTTTTCTCATGAAGTTATGTGTGTGTGTTTGGAACTGACCAGTGAAGAGGTCTCCGTTGCTGTAGGCTTTGCCCCGGCCCTCTTCGTCATTGGGCACAGCCGACACCTGCTTAGCCGAGGTGCAGCCCATGGCCTCATTCCCTCCCCCCTCTCACCATCTCACCTGAGAGAGACAGAAAACACATGCAGCAAAGAGGCTGACAGCACACGTTTAAAGACGCATGATTAGCTCCATTAGCGGCTCCACTGGGTTACGTAATACCGATCATCAGGAAAAGAAAACACATCTGAGTTGAGCCTGAACAGATCCAGACATGCTTTCTATCACAACCCGAAGCCAGGGTTACAGATTCACCCCCCCCCCCCCCCCACCTCCCATCTTAAAATTGAACCCAGTCCAAGACTAACACAAGACACACATAACAGCTCCAAAAAGTATTTGGACACACTTAAACTATGAATGTCACTGCATTATAAAACAAAATATCAAACCAATGGCATTTACACAAAGAAATATAGCCTAAACACACTTTCCAACAAAACATGTAGGGAAGTCCATTAGACATTTAAGGATAAAACAACATATACGTTGTTCAAAATGAAGTATTTCAACTATTTCTGGTTGTCAAATGTCAATGGAAAATGTTCATTATAGGAAGTCTATACCAAACTAACTTTTTTGATTCTTAAAAAAAGACTGCTTATCTTATTATAAGTAATCAGTGCAATATAAAGTATGTATGTGGCATGACTTGCATATCCAAATAAGAGTGCTGCAGGGATGATGCATTTTTGTAGACTAAAACCAGGAAATGAGTTAAATGTTAGCATTTCTGGTTACGTTGTCCTGCAATCAAAGGGTTTTTTGAATGGGTTATTGGTTAAATGCCTGAAATAAACTCAGCTGTGTTCATTTGTGAAGATTATAATGATGAACAAAACCTGTAAGAACCATAAACTTCTGTCAGTCCCCGAGCTTACTTCTGCAATAATCGAATGGAACAATCCTATATGATTTTTGTCAAGGGAATCAGGGGGGCTTACAGATTGGCCAACAAAAACAGTAAATCACTGCAGCACTCTATATGTTTTGCAGCCACTGCATATAAAAACACCTTCAGAATCCCCCAGACCCTCATAAAGGAATGGACTCGGAAAAGAGGGGGAAAAATTGAGAGAGGACAAAACAGAGGAGAGAAAGATCAAAAGAGCCGGCTACTCCTCCTCCCTGCTCTCTCCTCGTTTGAAGTCATCAGGAGGGGCAGTGTTTAGCTCTGCCTTTAGCAGCACGGGGCCCAGGACAAAGCACCAGGTGTACAGGCGAGAGAAAAGCGTGCGAACGTGCGATTGTATGCGTGCGCACACGAGCCAGACCACTCTCTGTTGCGAGTCTTGAGCAAAAAAAGATCTGCCTCTCAAGGCTGCGGAGGTTTTGTGCGCATCCCATAAAAGCCTGTGAAAGTATAATCACCCACAGTAGGGGTTTTCGATGAGGAAGTGTTTCGATTTACACCATCTGAAGTCTGAAAAGAGTGTTATCCATTCAAGTTGCTCAGAATTGGAATGGCCTTCATTTGTGAAGTTCTACACATGCTAATTTGACAATGCTCTCTCATTTTTGCTGTTGCTGTTGCTAGTGGTGCAGAAATTATATTTTTTAATATAATGCTGAAAAAGAGCAAAGACAAAAACTGATTTACTCATTGTGTTACCTAACAGGGGTTGAGAAAGTCTATTCACACCTCTTGTTACTGAGACATAAACAAGAAGCCATCTGGGCACTTGTGGCAGGTTCACTGTTCTCTTACACAGACAGAACACTGAAGTCTGTGTTCTGTAAAAGCTGTGCATATACATGAAGCAATATCAGGGCCTGGCTGTGCGTTTCTATACAGGTCATGTGTGTGTAATGGAATGGTCAAATAGACCATCCCAGGACCCGGCTTAAACTTGTCTAATGGCTTAAACACACTTTGACTAATCAGATGCAAAAAAAAAAAAAAGTTTTACGGTGGAAAAAAAAGTTTAAGGGGGAAAAATGTGAATAAAGCAGCATTTCTATCCCATTTGTTCAAGAGAATAAGGGAGAATTATCAAGTCACATTTCTGATGCACGTCCAGGAATTTATTAAGGATAAACTGATATTAAAAAAATCCTACCAATAAATAGGTTAATTATTTTCATCTTATGGCTGATTTTAAAAATGAACTATTTAGTCTAAATAAAAAATAAAATAAAAAAATAAAAAAACACTAAAAACTAATAGGCCTAGTGTTTCACAAAAGAGAATTTAGGATTAACCATATTTTAATGTACACTATGAAAAATGGATATTCATACTTAGATGTATTAAAGATTACATTTAACAGTGTGATTAAATTCAAAACAAAAACATTGACTTTTACATTGCTACAAAAAATTCTGTGTATCCCTCTGATTTATGGTAAATGTGTTTTGATTGTAATTCGTTCATATTTTAGAAAAATGTATTTGCATCTTGCACAAAATCTCAAAATTTGAATGAAAATGTGGCTGGAATGGTGACAGACAAACTTTCATAACTTTCATGCATAACACCTACTCAACCAACAAACATACCCATCAATCCATCATGTCTCAAAGCATTCAAACAAACACGCAATCAGTTCTGACAATAGAAATAATTGACTAATGTGCGAGGACAAATGAATAACCTACTTTCGAAGCAACAGCCTTGAAGATGAAGTCAAGCAAAATAGCATCACATTCACACCCCTACTAAAACACACACATACACACAGCAAGTACACACCCTTAAACAGGCCGCAGGGCTGAGAGCTGTCTGAGCCACCACTCACCCTGAAAAACAGGCTGATCAGGAGAGAACAAGAATCATGGGAAGGAGAGCACAAGTCCTTTGAATCTCAGCTGAGACGGGACAACACAAACACCAAACCCCTGCTCTGAAGAACCAGAGGAGACCCTATTCATTCATCTCCACCTGTGAGCAGGACAACAGCCCTCCACCATAATATTTACTCACCCGCAACGGTTGTAGCATCAACTCCCCATCCCAGTTTAAACAGATCACCAAGCCTGCCGAGACACACAGTGAAAACGTCTCAATGCTGTCATGATTATCTTAAGACTAAAGCCTCTTTTTCTTTCCCTTTCCTTCCTTCTTTATGTCTTAAGCAGTGTGAGAGGTGGTTTGGGGGTGGAGAGATGTTAAAATAATAGCGCTAGTGTTTAAGAAGGGAACTCTCTAACCACGAGAAGAGAGGGGCAACGAAAGGGCTGAGAGAGAGACAGAGAGTTCAAGTCAGAGGAAGCAATGAGACTGAGAAACAGATGGGAAGATAAATGCGTCAAAGATGGTCATGGTGACATTTCGTAACCGCAGAACTTCAGCAAAAAGCAGTGGTTCTTAAAACAGCAGAGCACTTAAACAGTAAAACAACAACTGCCGACCACCTAACATCCAAAAACCGGGGGAAACTGCAATTACCTCAAAGCAATTACCTACACCATAATAAATAACTCTCAATAATAATTATTGCGAGTTGATTTAATTGGTTGATCAAATTTCAGGTAGGTATTAAGTTTTTTTTTTTTTAGGTTTTTGAAGTGTCTTTTTGCTAACCAAGGCTGCATTTATTTAATCAAAAATACAGCAAAAAAATAAATACTGTAATTTAAAATGCATTTCATTTTAATATATTTTAAAATTTAATTTATTTCGGTGATGTCATTACTCCAGTCTTGATTGTCACATGATCCTTCAGAAATCATTCTAATAGGCTGATTTGCTGCTCAAGAAACGTTTATTATTATTATTATTATTATGTTGAAAACTGTTATAATGTCTTTTTAACATTATAAACATCTTTACTGTAAAAAAAAAAATCATAGAATTTGTATGAAATATTCAAACTATTTTGAAACAGTTTTCAGTTTTCAATTTAATCTTAGTTTAATTTGTAATCATTATGTTTTTTTGTCAGTTATATGTTTTTGTTCTAATCAAATTTGTTTTATTTTATTTTTCAGTTAGTAATTTCAGTGCTTTAACAAATTTATGTTGGTTGCTAAGGCAACATTTAATTTTTTTAGGTTGTTTATCTAATATTCATATTTTATTTCAGCTTTATTTCAAAGAACAAAAATGTTTTTAATAGTTTTGTTTTAGTTAACAATAAAAACGGTGAAATATGCCCAGGCAAACCAATTTGCCTTAACAAGCAGCACTAACAAATGTTTTCATACAGGTTTTCCAAACACTCCTCTCAACTTCCAAGGGAAATCAGCCTATGAATGATTTGTGTCTGAATTTTAAGCTAGCGTGACAGGCTAAAATATAAACTCACTCACCAATCCATTCTTACATAAAACATCCCATGGGGTTTAAATGAGACAATTTACTAAAGAATGGCATCACATACTATTCATACAGAAACTCATTCTACTCGTATTTCATGAATTAGGGCCAGTGTTTTCAGCCAAGACGGTGTGGAAATCTTACTTGCAAAAGCCTGAATCGATCCCTCCATCCACTGTCACAACGTACCACTCAGGGCTGTCCCAACAACGCCTGCGTCTGACTGACTCACTGACTTCACAGCTCAACAACTGATTTGTGCCTGTCACCTCTATACTGCGCGTGGGTCTGAACACTGAAGCTTGGTGCCACTACTGTCAGAAAAGAACCAAATGACTCATAAACACACACCACTCATATGACTAGTCAAACGAAACCTTGAGTACCTCATTTGTCTTCTAATCAGCATCTTCAAAACATCACACCTTTCTATCTTTCCTTTCTGCAATTACTAATAAGTACCATCTCTCTTCCAGTCAATGCACGCACAAGGCTACAGGAAATTTACTCTGGGGTCAGGTCTGTAATTTTTCAATATCCATCTCTATAATGTTGACAAGCGCCTCCTAATTCTGCCTAAATATTCATTTGAAATTAGAAAACCATCTATTATATCAATTCTGTTGCCTGCTGCCGCATAATTGGTCTGCCCATTTCTTAAGTATACACACAGCTCTCTAATGAGCTCTTGAAAGCCTCCAAATGAAAATCCCTCCCACTGTGCAAACCTCATTTTCATCCCTTTACAAAATGTTTACTAATTCAGCGAAATTTGAATAAGGTTTAAAAATGCCATGCTTCCATTTAAATGGCACCGGTAGTATGGCACTGTTATTTAAACATTCAAATGAGCACGTTCATCCGTCTCAGCACGTACGTGTGGGACAGCGTGGGACATCTGTGTTTGACAATAGTAGAGGAGGATGTCATATCAGAACAGCGAGCGGCGGTGAGTCACACACAGCCTTCAGCCTGACCTCTAACTCGTCGAACAAAAGCATGACACAAAGCTCAACCTCAAAAGCCACCTCTGAAACACGCGGGGCTCTCTCTGAATGATTGGATTTGTAATTGACCCCATCAATGCTTTCCAAGGCAGGAAGGATCGAGGACAGTTGGTGTACTATCTCAGAGTGTGCAGTAACAGTATACAGTATAGCAGGGTCGCTTCAACTCGCTAGACAAAAATGACGTATGAAGCTTAGCCCTACAATGCCACTATGCAAAGCTATCTACTTGTGCAAATACGTTTTTTCCCCTTAATTTTTTAAAGTCGACATGAAACACAAGTTGCCTTCATCTTTTCTTATGACACATATACAATTGAAATAGCTTCTCAAAAAAAAAAAAAAAAAAAAGTATGGAA